AATGACTGTCTAAGAGAATGTAGGGTCTGGCTAAGAGAATGACTGTCTAAGACACTGTAGGAACTGTCTAAGACAATGCCTGTCGAAGAGAATATCAGGCCAAGAGAAGGTAGGTTTGTCTGCTACGACTGTAGATTGTACATCAAACTAAACTTTGTTTTAATTTTACCAGGTAAGGCCCACTGGAGCTCTACAGCTCCTTCTTCAGAAGGGACCTGGCCACCACAAATGAGAGCTCGGCGAGGCGGCTCATCGCGTGCACATTTAGAGCGGCCAAACACCCTAAACGCCTGCTGTAGATTCTAAATGTGGAGAGAAAAATCGGAAGACCCGGAGGAAAAAAATCCACGCCATCACGGGGAGGGGAGAGACAGACACGCAAACTCCAAAAATACAGCCGGCGTCAGGGTCCGTTTCGAAAACCACGACCTCCTGTATCCCAGGCGAGGTAGTCGACATCGCGCCATGCGAGGCGTAGCGATGCCCGCTCCGTCTAATTTGACATCTCGGCGCTTTAACGTGAAGTGGTTTTTGAGTAAAAAAAAAGCGTCACTCTCTCCGACGCGGGTTTCGTTTGCGCCCTTGTCACGCGTGTTTGTTTCCGCACGACGTCCGACGATTCGCTCCACGTGCCAGCGGGCAAAGCTTGTACGGGGGGAATGAAGGAGACGCAGGTTTCCCCGACGGGAGACGCGGTTGACTCGAAAGGCGCGTGCGTCTTCAAAGTGCCGCTGCCGAAACAAAACGGAGCCATACAAAACGAACAATGTATCTGATAAAGCTAACACACAGCGCTGATGTTTAAGGCTGTAGGCCATAGGTGCTCGCTAAACAGCACTTGCCCCTACAGTCTGTTAAGTCTACACGGGGGATCTTTGTCTCTGTATGTATTGCGAGCGCGTGTTTGTTTATTTAACCGTGTACGGCTTATATACCTTTGCTGAGTGACGTCTGTCTGTACGATTCGTAGCGATTTACCTTCGGAACGCTCGAGTTCACCTGTGTCAAGTGTGACTGTGTCTATGCAACGCGCGTCTATGGCGCGTATCGTATGCCCGTGAAGAACACGTCGATCTGAAATTGCGTCTGTATTGCACGTGAAGCGTGCGTCTATGTATATATGAAGCGACGCTGCTGTATATACGCAACGATGCAATCGTATTTTTGTTGTTGAAATTTTCGTCGGTCTGTTGGAATGAAGCGTTGGGGTGCGCGCGCGCGCGCGACGGATGCGCCGGATCGCTCGCCCCGAACCGCGTGTGGCCTTGCGCTCGCCGTAACGAACACGGCTTCTCGACTTTCGCGGTCGCCGCATTGTGAACCCCACACACACACACATTGCCTCGGCTGATCTCGTCACGGAGCGCACACACACGCGGCATCGCGCGAACTTCGAATCATCCCGCGCAGAGGCAGCGGCGGCTTTTGCCTGCTAAGAGCCGTCGCGCGCTTCCAAACGCTCTTCCTTTCCACTTTTAGGAAGCCACTGGGAGCTTGTGCACTTTTTAAAAACTATTTTTTTTAGAACCGCTGTGTGTGTGTGTTTTAGTTTGTTGTTCGTCCCCCCACACACACACCTCCGATTGGCGCGGTTGGCTGCGTACGGCGCGTGACAAGTTCGACATGAAGACATAACACATGCTCTGTCGGTCAGAAGTAGTACTTCACCGCGGCCGGAAAATCGAATACATGGCCCGGGTTCATTGACGCAGGGCGCCAACCACTGCACCACCGCTCCACCCGGTCTGTAAGCGTAGGTCTCTCTCTCTCGCTCTGTGTGATAAATATCCATCAGTTTAAAGAATATGTATTCTCGCAATATACAGATTGTACGACCATCTGCGTGAATGCAAACGTATTGGGTAAGCGTATATAACGATGATTGATATTACACGTGTGTCTATGTGCTCTGTGTATGTACACCCGTCAAGAGTGAATGCCTGCCTATTTGACGACCCGACATTTAAATATCGCTCCGCGTGCTCGGAGCGACTGCTACTTCCGCTGCGAAACGTCGGACATCGCTTAGCGGGCACAAACCCTGACGGCACACACAGGATCGCGACGCGGTTGTCATGAGTGTACGTGTTAGGAGCTCTATATAGCACGAGGAGTAATGTCATATACATCGACAGTTACATGGGATATAGGAGCGTAAAACAACCAGCTTCACGTCGATACACAGCACAGACCCGTCGGCGTGACGTTATCCCATCTGTTCGAAGTTTGCGTTGTACGTAGCTGATATTGGGGGCGCCGCGGTGGCGAGATGTTAACTACCTCGCCTGGTATGCACGAGGTCGTGGGTTCGATCCCGACCCTGACTCATGCTGTATATTTGGAGTTTGCGTCTCGCTCATCATCACGGTTTCTAGGATATGTTAACTACCTCGCCTGGTATACAGGAGGTTGTGTTCGATCCCGACCCTGCCAGCTGCTGTATATTTGGAGTTTGCGTCTCGCTCTCTCTCATCATCACCACGGTGTCTATGAGATGGTGACTACCTCGCCTGGTATACAGGAGGTCGTGGGTTCGATCCCGACCCTGCCAGCTGCTGTATATTTGGATTTTGCGTCTCGCTCTCTCTCTCTGGATTTTTCTCCGGGTTCTCCGGTTTTCCCCCTTCACATTTAGAATCAGCGTAACGCGTCTTAGAGTATTTGGCTGCTATGCAATGCTGGTTCTGTCGAGACATCATTTGTGGAAAGCCAGGTCGCTTCTGTGAAATAAGAAATACTATATATGGCTCCGGGGGGCCTTAACCTGCTAAGATTATTTAGTTTCACGTACAGAAGCGCGTGTCTATCTATGAAGCATATGCATACGAAATACAGACGTTTATATCTACTACGTCCAGTGTGAGACCATCTCTCACGTGCATTCTTACATCAACATCGGCCACGATCTATAATCCACTGCCGTCACCCCCAAACTCGCGATCCTGCGGTGCAGTCATCCACCGATATACACATATATGTGTATATATATACATATATACACATATATATATATACATAATAGAGGGGGGGGGGGGGGTTGGTTAGATCGCGTAAATATATAAATGTGTCGTCAAAACCCGCCACCACCAACTAGTAAGGGTTGTCACGTTAATGATTGGCGAAACGTCGTACTCAGATTGTAAATATTGTAGCTTGGCTCTCCAACACTACCGGTGTGCTGTACTCGTGACGAATTGTCACGTTCTGTTTACGTGACAACCCTTACTATTTGGCTGTGTCGGGTGGTGGCGGGTTTATCGACACATTTAGATATCTATACACTTCGTATATACCTCTAACGACATGTGTGTATGTTTAGCGCGTGTCTGTGTAAAGTGTACATCTTAAATATATCTCTAACTTCGGGAAGGGGGGGGGGATGGGGAGGGGCGGCGTCGTTTGACCATACTTCACCACCATGTGTCGAAGGGCGCAGCGGCGCTAACTGCTGCGCCGCCGCTCCTCCGAAAGTTTCCGAACGCTGCTGCGACGTTCCGTTGCGCGGCGTGTCGATGAATATCCGTCGAGGTGATGACACCTAGCGTGCCCTCCCGCCCGCGTGTCGAGTACGTGAGGTGTCACTGCTGTGTGTCTGTGCGGGTGAACGTCCGTCGATGCAGCGTAAGTGTGCGCACTCATCAGCCGTGCTCAATCCACTGCTGGGTGAATGGCTCACAAAGGATCTCTCACCATCCATCGATGTTATAATAAACATATCAAATGATACACTTATATTATAAATATAAAGTTGCATATGCTGCATGTGAATATGAAAAGTACGCGTCGAAATACAGCACTTGTCGGTATGTCGCGTGAAGAGGTGGTAGAGAGATCTACGTTACATGAATGCGAGTTATTTAACAAAGGGAACGCTTTATCAAGTCTCAGGACAGCGTTTGCAAGAGGGTCCCGCCGCATTGAGACGTTCTGTCGTGAAATCCACGCACGACAGTTGGGGGCGGAGGTAAGATAAAACGCTCGACGATCCGCACAGACGGATTCAATAATCTCTCGATGTAACAATACCGTAACGTAACCTTCTGGTGACCTTCACCACCCGGCGGTCTGGTCAAGACTCAGTCAGCCGACTCGTCCATCCACGCAGTCATGCCAACGGGTGCTGCGGTGGAGAGATGTTAACTCCATCGCCTGGTACACAGGATGGCGTAGGTTCGATCCCGACTCTGACGCCTGCTGCTGTATATTTGGAGTTTTGTGTGTCTCTCTCTCGCCGAGGTCCCGTGGATTTTTCCCCTCCAAATTGAGAACCAACATCACCACGCGTTTAGAGTACTTGGCTGCTGTATAACTTTCCACGTGATAAGCCGCTTCTTTTGTGGCCAGGTGGCTTCTGAAAAAATAGCTATGCATCTTAGCGGGCCTTACCTGGTAAGATAAAAAAATAGTTTAGTTTATAGTTTTAATAATCACGTATCTATCTCCCTCGATGTCTCTCAAGAGAGAGGTATCTCTTGAGCAATATATAGAGATTGAGCTGCGCGCGTTACAAATGATGCATCATCACCACTCAAGAGCGACAGAGAGATACAGAGGAGTCTGTGAACGATTCACAGGCGCAGAAACCCACAGAGCGGGAGGAGGCAAGCAGCCATCACCGGCGCCGACTATTTCCCGAGCTCTGCGATCCTATATTGGGTTGTGTGACTAAACCAGGCTCAGCCACTGGAGATTAGGAGGGGGGGAGGGGTGGTTTGGGTCGCACCGGGGGGGGTGAACTTGTTAAGACTCCGCTCTCTCTCCCTTCTATCCCCCACATCTCCCTCTCGTACAAGTGTCGTGATTGTACCGCGAACCGGCCTTCCCCGCCCCACCCAAGATCTCGACCCCGCTCAATTTTCACGCTCCGTCGCTTGGGCCTCTCCGTTGGGTTCTATGGAGAAATGTTTTTTTTTGTTTGTAATCATCTCTGCTGAAGGTTTCTGAAGTGCCCACTGTCTCTTTGCTCTCTCTCTCCTCTCTTTGCTCTCTCCTCTCTCAAGGAAGAGTCTCGCCTCGCGTCCGCTCCCCTCGCCATGCTCGCCGCGACCTGCAACAAAATCGGCAACGCGCGCTCCGTGTCCCCGCTCGGCGAGACGCACTTCAGCGGCAAGGGCGGATTCTACCCCTGGAAGAAGCCGAGCGCCTCCAACGGAGGCGGCTACGGAGCGGCCACGCGGAGCCCGGGCGAACACCAGCAACAGCAGCAGCAGCAACAGCAGCAGCAGCAGCATCAGCAACAACAGCAGCAACAGCAACATCACAGCCTCGGTAGCATCAGCAACAACAACAACAGTGGCAGCAGCGGCGGCAGTTCGAGCGCGTTCAGCGCCGCGTCTTGCACCACGGCCTCCTTCGGTGGCGACTACTCGGCGTACCACGGCGGCGGCGGCGTCTCGTCGCCCGAGCCCACGCACTCCGCCTTCGTCTCCAAAGTGCACTCGTCCGTGGAGGGTCTGCAGGGCATGTACTCTCGCGTGGGCATGCCCCCCCCTCACCACCACCACCACCACCACCACCCGTACGAGTCGTGGTTCAAGGCGGCGGGCGCGGGCCACGGCGACGCGTCGGCCGGAGGCGCCACCGCGGCCGCCGCCGCCGCGTGGTGGGACGTGCACGGCACGGGCTGGCTCGACGTGCAGGCCGGCGCCGCGGGCGGCCTGCAGGCCCCGCTGCAGCCCTCCTTCCACTCGCAGCTGGGCGGCTACAACTCGGACTACGCCGCCAGCCTGGGCCACACGGCCGCGGCCGCCTTCGGCGGCGCGTCGCCCCACCTGCTGCCCTCGGCCGCCCAGCACCTGCTGGCGCAGAACAGCATGCTGCCCACCTACGCCGAGTCGACCGCGACGGGGGCCGGCGGCGGCGGCGGCGGCGGCGCGCTGTCGGCCAGCCCCGTGATCGCGGGCGCCCCGGGCCTGGGCCCCGCGCCGACGCCGCGCGGCTCCAGCCGCCGGTTCCCCGGGCGCGCCACCTGCGACTGCCCCAACTGCCAGGAGGCGGAGCGGCTGGGGCCCGCCGGCGCCAGCCTGCGGCGCAAGGGCCTCCACAACTGCCACATCCCCGGCTGCGGAAAGGTGTACGGCAAGTCGTCGCACCTCAAGGCGCACCTGCGCTGGCACACGGGCGAGCGGCCCTTCGTGTGCAACTGGCTGTTCTGCGGCAAGCGCTTCACGCGCTCGGACGAGCTGCAGCGGCACCTGCGCACGCACACGGGCGAGAAGCGCTTCGCGTGCCCCGTGTGCAACAAGAGGTTCATGCGCAGCGACCACCTGAACAAGCACGCCAAGACGCACAGCGGCGGCAAGACGGGCAGCGAGAGCGACCCCGAGACGAGCAACCCCGAGTCGCCGTCGCACCCCCACTCGCCTGACGTGGGCGGGGAGTCGGCGGGGTCCATGCAGGAGGCGGGCAGCATGATGGTGGTGGGCAGTCAGGACCAGCGGCTGGCTTGAGCTCGGTCGCTGATTATCATCGTCAGCGTCGTGAATTATTGCACGGCGATTTCGTTTTTGGGCCCAAGATGTCTTGGCGTGGTGCTGGTGATGAGGGCTGTTGGTGATACGTTGGGGCTGACGCGTCTCTCCGTCGCTGAAGGGCCGGGGAAGCATCTCCAGGGGGATGCGTTGAAGGTGTTTTTTGTTGGTTTTCACGTTCATATGTTCTCGCGAAGTTTTGGGCGCAAGGCGTGAACATGCCCTCCCCCCCACTCCCACCCCGGCTTCTTTCACCTTCGTGCGGAGCGGGCCGAGTGGGGAGTAAGACTTTGTGGGTGGAGAGGAGACTTAAGTGCACGGATGGATGGACAGCCAAACAACACTCAAGCCTCCCGCCGTCTTTAGTCGGGGTCCTCTGACCCTGACGTCTGACCCTGACCCGGACTCTAACCTCAACGCCAAACGCCCTCATCGTCACACCTCGCCCCGTCTACCCTTCGTGACCCCCTCGATCGATCGAACGCGTCTACGAATGCTCAACAACATCAGCAGCAGCAGCCGCAGCCGCAGCAACAACATCATCAAGAACAACAACAAACAATCCCTAACTGTTGCCCGCTCACGTCAATATTCACGTGGCCAGATGTCAGCGTTAATAACAAAACCAAGTTAAAGGCGCAGCCCCGCAAGTGCTTGCTCGCGCCGCTGCTGGCAGAAAGAACGGCGGTCCTCCGCTCGAGGCAAGCTCCGGGAGCGTGGAGTGCTTACAGCGGACATTGTTTGGCCTACTCTTCCACGCTCGCCAGAGCGACGTCTTGGAAGACGCCCCGGGATGGGGAGGAAAGAGAGGGCAGGCGAGACTGAAGCTGTCCGTGAAAGATGTTTGACTCTTGTCTGGACCGTGTTATCAGTGCTGTACCCGTTGAGGTCTTATCACCATCGGTTCCGCACCAGGTGAGATGTTGTCATAATTATTCTTATTATAATTAATAATATGGAAAGAGAGCGAGAGAGAGAGAGGAAAAAGAAATATCTATTACTAAAAAAAAATGAGATTACAGATTCGTGAATAAAGCTTTTGGCAATCATATATAGAGTTATAACGTGGATTTGGATATAGTTGACTATAACACGTGCACGCGTGCGTGTGTGTGTGTATATACTCGTCTGTTCACTGTTTGCGGGAAAAGGAATCATTGCCTTGATGACTTTGAGCATTTAGTGCGCTCGCAATTTGTACATGGTTTGTAAAAAAAAATTACGATGGTGATGATGATGATTTAATGATATTGATAACTGATGATGATGTTGATAATAATATGAATTTAATAATAAGGTCGAAATGTTAGACTTATAATAATAGGGGGGGGGGGGGGGGTGTTCCCTACCGTTGTGTTTTAACTTAAGTGCGGCGTGAAGACACGTGTAAGAATTCGATAAAATGGAATTGAAAAGAATTATGGAAAAAAAAACCCCGCTCGTTGAAAAAAATTAAAATGCAAATGCGCGCTAAACTACACCCAGAGTGGACACGCATCGCTTTTTTAAATTACAAATCAATTATTTATAGCCCCCCCCTTCGCTCAATCCACTGGCTTGATCATAAGGCCTGCTACCCTGCCCACGTCGGTCGCGTGTGGGTTGCTTGACCATACTTCACCACGCTGGTCACTTGCAGGAGTTTTTGGTGAAGTTGCCACCCCAACCAGCGACCGCTTCGGATATCACTCGCCACTGATGTTAGCCGCGTGGCCGGGAAGGGACTCAAACTCTTCATAAATGCCCTCAGAGGGGAGGGGGGGGATGGGGGGTTTCCTTTACCCACTGCTCCAACGCTGCACACGATAACATCATGAATCAGAATATGTATTTATACTGGAGAAATCCCATGAGCTAGGAAGGTCTTTTAAATAATAAGGCCTCGCCGAGTCTGAAGACTCTGCCTGGAGGGTCCTATACCACGTTGGCCATGGATATCCACGGATTTATGAGAATTTCCATGAATGAATGAGACTTGCCATGAATTAATGAGAATGTTCCATGAATGATACGGTGGCTCTGCGCGGCGTAAAACCCACGAGACAAATCCAGCGAGTAGACGCCGCGGCCGCCGCCGCGAGCTGCCTTTTGTGTTGAGTTTGCAGCCAATTCCTCCTCGCCTGCAATTCGCATGGTTGCCTCCGAGCGCTGCTAAAGCAGTCCGACGTACATCCAGAGCACACGCGCGACTGTACTCGCGAGAGGCTAACACTCGGGACTGCCATCTGCTGGCAACGCTGGCAGGCCCCCTCTGTCCCGCCACCAGCCCACCAACGCTCAACCATGACCCGCTCAGCCACCCCATAGGAGCACTCGCCAGGCTCAGGACCCGCTTAGCCGCTACACGCGGTGTGTACCACGCCACTGCCGGAGTCTGCCTCGCCGAGGTGAATAGCAGGGGAACAAAAACAAAAGACGACCCGAGCGTGTGATTGGACATTTTTGCCACGCCAACCGCTCGACAAAGCGCGCGCAACAAACAAGGCGCGATGATTACAATATAAATACACGTAAATATAAACAACCGCATGTATATACTTGCCTGCCTTTAGTGGCAATTAGCGGTGGAGCGGCGGAGCGCAGCGGTGCGTCACTGAGCCAACGCGAGCTGACCAGGCGCGTGGTGGAGTTGGGGTGAAATCATAAATCGACGAATAAATGCGATGGGCCGACGTGGCGTGGTCGTGGCGGACGGGGAGGGAAGGGAGGGCTTCGCCTATCACGTTCTCCTGAGAATGGCTGTAATGGTGACGTTCCCGTGACGTTCCCGTGACGTTCCCGTGACGTTCCCGTGACGTTCCCGTGACGTTCCCGTGACGTTCCCGTGACGTTCCCGTGACGTTCCCGTGACGTTCCCGTGACGTTCCCGTGACGTTCCCGTGACGTTCCCGTGACGTTCCCGTGACGTTCCCGTGACGTTCCCGTGACGTTCCCGTGACGTTCCCGTGACGTTCCCGTGACGTTCCCGTGACGTTCCCGTGACGTTCCCGTGACGTTCCCGTATTTTGATGGAACGCGCCACCGAGCCCAAGCGTCCGGTGGCGCGCGGAGAGGGCCGCGTTCCCGTGACGTTCCCGTGACGTTCCCGTGACGTTCCCGTGACGTTCCCGTGACGTTCCCGTGACGTTCCCGTGACGTTCCCGTGACGTTCCCGTGACGTTCCCGTGACGTTCCCGTGACGTTCCCGTATTTTGATGGAACGCGCCACCGAGCCCAAGCGTCCGGTGGCGCGCGGAGAGGGCCGCGTTCCCGTGACGTTCCCGTGACGTTCCCGTGACGTTCCCGTGACGTTCCCGTGACGTTCCCGTGACGTTCCCGTGACGTTCCCGTGACGTTCCCGTGACGTTCCCGTGACGTTCCCGTGACGTTCCCGTGACGTTCCCGTGACGTTCCCGTGACGTTCCCGTGACGTTCCCGTGACGTTCCCGTATTTTGATGGAACGCGCCACCGAGCCCAAGCGTCCGGTGGCGCGCGGAGAGGGCCGCGTTTACGCCGAGAGACGGAGAGAGACGGAAAAAAAATATTACATATAAAACAGGGGGAACATAGACATAGAGTAGGGAGAGAGGGGGTAGAGAGAGGGGGGGGGGGTAGAGAGAGGGGGTAGAGATGGAAGGGGTAAGAAGGAGAACAGAGCATGAAATATTTCGTGAAATCTTTCATTTAAACGGGGAGGGGGGGGGGAGGCACATAAAGTAAAGCATTGAAAAAAACACCAAAAAAGCGAAATGATGAACGAAGCAAAGTGCCGACTACACCGAGCATCTGCTTGTTTCCTCTGATGGTAAAACAAGAGAGACGGAGAGAGAGATGGAGAGAGACGGAGAGAAAGACGGAGAGAGAGGTGGGAATTCGCGGAGTTCACGCGGCACCGCTCGGAGCAAGGGATGGACGAACTTTCAGAGCGTGAGACGTGAGACGACGAGGAGCCGTTGTTGTTGTTGTTTTGTTGTTGTCTGTGACCCGAAAAATAGTTCGGGAGCCGCATCACACGCGGAGCTACTTGACGTGCACAGACGGCAGCGGGTATACAGCAACATGACAACAACAACAACACATTCTGACGTAAATAAACAAAACAGGTGATGGAGAAAACTGCGTCTTGATTTAAAGCTTTCGTGACTGCAGTAATTCATATTCTTAGCTCTTTCGGTAAAGTCACGTTGAAGGGAAACAATAAAATAATAAAATATATATAAAAGAATAAAAATTCTCACGACGTTTCGACCATAACACAAACGGTCGTCGTCACACCTGATGACGACCGTTTGTGTTATGGTCGAAACGTCGTGAGAATTTTTAGTTTTATATATATTTTATTATTTTATTGTTTCCCTTCAACGTGACTTTACCGAAAGAGCTAAGAATATGAAAAACTGCGTCTACTTAGTTGATGCGCCCCCCCCCCCCCCCCTTAGTTCTTCTTTAACAGTCACAGTTTGACTCTTGTGCATTTTGTGTCGCCAAGACATCCCATGGTGACGCCTATTCCCTGGCCACATTTAATAAATGTATCTTGACATCAAATTTCGTTTAAGAATTACGGCGTTTTTTTTTTAAACGGCTGCTCTCAAGCTGGGGGGGGGGGGGGGCAGCCAAAGAGCCACTGCATGCGGCAAAGCAGCCAAAGGCTGTCAAACCCCTTGCTACCACCATCACCACCATCACTACCATCACCATCATCACCACCATCACCATCATCACCATCATCACCATCATCATCCCATCATCACCACCATCACCACCATCACCACCATCACCATCATCACCATCATCATCATCACCACCATCACCACCATCACCACCATCATCACCACCATCACCACCATCACCACCATCACCACCACCACCACCACCATCACCACCACCATCACCACCACCACCATCACCACCACCACCACCATCACCACCACCACCACCACCATCACCACCATCACCACCACCATCACCATCACCACCATCACCACCACCATCACCACCACCATCACCACCACCATCACAGACTGTTGGTCCGAGTGCCGTTCGCGAGTGTCCCGCCTGTGACGCCACGATGAGGTGGTCTGCCAGTCCCACGCCACGGTTCGCCGTTGCCTCCCGAGTGACGGCACTTGCACGTGGTGGTTTACCAGGTACCCATTTGAGGCTGAGTCCACCTAGGGGGGGGGGAGGGGGTTGCCCGTGATCGGTTCAGTTAGGTAGAGCCCTGTGAGCCATGAGGCTCTTGACTCGGGTGCAACCGTAACAAGTAAATCGTGAACATTGAACATCCTAAAGTGACGTTTCCTGTTTTGCAGGGGAAAAACAGGAAAAATCTTCCAGACAAAAGCACCGTAATCAACGCTGTGTGCAAAAATCCCAATGGAATGCAAGTCGAACAATAACAACCATGAGACAATTTAGATTAAAGCTATAAGGCTAACTCCGTACTTCAACAAACAAATATAATCTTGATTTGAAACTTTCGTGACTGCAGGAATCCATACTCTTTGGTTCTTTCGGTAAAGTCACGTAGGTATAAAAATAATAGATTACGACGTTCGATCGCAACACAAGCAATCGTCATCAGGTGAGACAACCACAGCAAGAACAAACAGCTGAAGTTAAACATGGCTTGACCACACGTTTTCGAATATCACCAAAATGAATCGATAAAAACGATGCAACGAGTGACCATAGGTGGAGGGAGGGAGGAGCACGTGGACGAGAGGGACGCGCTTCGGGTCTAATGCGCCACTGCCGTCGATGGGTTGTTCAAGGGAACGTCGCGTGGGGCATTGGGGGTCAGCGGATGAGACGCAGCAGGGCGCCCCGCCACACGAGCGGCAATGTCAGGCGGCTCAGCGGGTAGCCGACTCAGCACGTCGGGAATAGGCGACGCGCCATGGGTCGGGGGGCGGGGAGAGAGACGGAGCGATGGAATTGGCCCCCCTCCCCCCATGGGGTCCGAGGCGTGTGTCGAGTCAAGGGGGGGGGGGGGGGCGTCACGTGCCGAAGCTGTCGTCGTGAAGCTCGGCAAGGCTTTGCATCTAGCGGTGGATCGAGCGCGGCTGATGGATAAAGAGGGGGGGGGGTATTTAAGTCGGCGCTTCCGAGTTTGGGATATTCACCGCGACGTTGTTGGTGGTGATGAACGTGGTGGTGGTTGTGGTTATGATAGGGGTAGTGGTTGTGTATGGTGGTGATGGGGTAGTGGTTATGATAGGGGTAGTGGTTGTGTATGGTGGTGGGTTGTGATGGGAGAAGTGGTTGTGTGATGGGGGTGGTGATGGTGGTAGTGCTTGTGTGTGATGGTAGTGGTGATGGGGTAGTGGTTGTGTGTGATGGTGGTTATGATAGGGGTAGTGGTTGTGTATGGTGGTAGTAGTTGTGTATGGTGGTGGTGGTGGTGGTGATGGGGGTAGTGGTTGTGTGTGATGGTGGTTATGATAGGGGTAGTGGTTGTGTATGATGGTGATGGTGGTAGTGGTTGTGTATGGTGG